TGGACCCAGCAAGCTCAAAAGAATGCAACGCTAGTATCACATGCTAGAATGAAGGTCCACAAAGCAGGGATTTTGTCTTAATTGGTTATGTGTCCTATGAGCCTAGACCAGAGCTTGGAGCTTGGCAGGCACTTAGAATATTTGCTGTTTAAATGAAAGCCAGCATAGACAGAGGCACTGAATCTACCCAGGGAACTGACCCTTCTCTTATTTGAGCCTCAAAAAAAACCACAGTGAAAGGCATGTTATTATCATTAACCCCATTAGAAAACAAAGTTCAGGGAGGTGCCTGTGGCTCAAAGGAGTAGGGTGCTGTCCCCATATGCTGGAGGTGGCAGGTTCAAACGCAGCCCCAGCCAAAAAAAATAGTTCAAAAAGTGTCAGGGACATGCCAAGATGTCTCAGGTTCTAAGCCCTGGAATCTGGCCTGTTATCTCTAAAGACCAAGCTCTTGTCTCTAAATTACTGGCATCGCATCCAAACTTGTAAAATAATAGAAAATATAAAGAGGCCACCAACAACTCTTTGCCTGAATTTGTTCCTCCTCACAAACCAAACCCAGTTGGGGACCATGGAGTGAAATTCAGGAAGTTCCAGACGGAAACAGAAGGCTAAGCGACTGGATACGTTTCAGAGTTGGCCTCCCCAGACACCATCTGGAGCTAAGAATCTCAGCTTCTCCACATTAACCCCAAACCCATTTAAAGCAGACCCAACAGACTGAGGGAATTAAATAATTTGAATATTTAATTTTTAATGGCATAGGAAAATGAATAGAATAGGATCCCTGAAGTCAAGCTAATAGCATTCTAACCGAGGAGATGAGACAAGGGCAAGTTATTATAATAAATTTGAAAATACTAAAAATAAATAACTAAGTCCCTGGAGGTGAGTGGTGGTGATGGTTGCACAATAGGAATGAATTCAACACCATTGAACTGTACACTTAAAAATGATTAAGGAAAAGAAAAAGAAATAATTATGGGAATTGGCTCGGCACCTGTAGCTCAAGCGGCTAGGGCACTAGCCACATACACCAGAGCTGATGGGTTCGAATCCAGCCTGGGCCTGCCAAACAACAATGACAACTGCAACCAAAAAATAGCTGGGCATTGTGTCGGGTGCCTGTAGTCCTAGCTACTTGGGAAGCTGAGGCAAGAGAACTGCTTGAGCCCAAGGTTGCTGTGAGCTGTGGATGCCACGGCACTCTACCCAGGGCGACAGCTTGAGACTCTGTCTTAAAAAAAAAAAAATAGTTATGGGAATATAGAAGTGAGACCCCTGGTTGGAGATATTTTTAAAAGTTTTGTGGAAGAGAGAATGTGTGAGCTGGAATTTAGAGAACAGAATAAATAGCCTGCAGAAGCCAGCATCAGAAGCAAATGACCAGAGCAAGCAAGATGAGGGCACAGCCATGGACTGGGGATTATTATTTCAGTTTCTAGGCACAGATGACATGGTAGCCAGCAAATAAGAGAGGCAGAGACATGAGACTATGGAGTCTCTATATATTTTGTGTGCTGGGAAAAGAGTGTAGGACTAACCCCTAAGATTTGGAAGCTCATCCTCATACCAAAAGGAAAAGAATTTAAATGATCAAAAAGTTATCCTGCCAAGGAGACTTTCTGGGCAGGGACACCTGGAGGGTGTGTTTCTTTCAACGTGCCCCTTCCTTAACCTCATGCTTTTTTAGGGTGGGCGTCCAATCCGAGAGCTTCATTTCTCTAATCTCTAAGTAGGGATTCCTACTGTGCAGTGTGCGGAGTTATTCCAGAGCATAACTTGGGAAGGAAGGACTCTGGCCACCCAACGCTGCCATTCATTCCAGACAGTTCCAGAAACTGTTTGTTCAGCCTTTGGTAAACAAAGCATGCTTGGAATTATTTGGGCTCCTGGATTTGCCATCGAGTATTATTTGTTAAAGTAAGACAGAAACTGTGAGAAACACGATCTCCAGGCCTGTCCAGTAGAAAAATAAGAAAACCTGGCTCAGTGCCTGTGGCTCAAGTGGTTAAGGTACCAGCCACATACACCTAAGTTGGCGGGTTCGAATCCAGCCTGGGCCCACCAAACAACAATGATGGCTGCAACCAAAAAATAGCTGGGCATTGTGGCAGATGCCTGTAGTTCTAGCTACTTGGGAGGCTGAGGCAGGAGACTCACTTGAGCCCAGAAGTTGGAGGTTGCTGAACATTGCTCTGAGCTGTAATGCCTCAGCACTCTACCCAGGGGGACAGCTTGAGGCTCTGTCTCCAAAAAAAAAAAAAAAGAAAGAAAGAAAAATAAAAAAACCAAGCACCTCGTTCCCTTTCTATAGCAACTGCATCTAAAAACATTGTATTTTAGTAAGATGAAAACTCCCTCAAGCAACTTGAAAAAATTTTCTCAAGCAGAATTTGCCTCTTTTTTCATTTTGCTTAAGTCTTTCAGAATTTCCTTCTTCTCTGACACTCCTAATAAATTCAGGCATTTTAATAACTCACCTGGTTTTTACTATAGAATTATTGATGGCCCTTTCTCAACAATCAACACTCTTCCTGATTCAAAGACAGATTTGGCAGGTGGAAATCAAGATTTTTGAGATTTAATGTCTTCAACACGTTTGTGGCCACATCACCTTTCCAGTGAAATGAGTTCAGGGGTGAATGCTTGTGATGTGTACATGTAGAGGTAGTTAATAACTGAGAAAATTAATAGGTATGAGTGACAGGGATGTACAACAGAATCACCTAAGGTTGGAGTTGGGTATTCTCCAAAAGTCAGAGGTGTTGTTTTGAAAGCAAGTACTCTATCCTAAAACAGACTTAAAGAACAGACTTCAGACCCACCTCACCACACCTTGATTTCTACTTAACTTAAAATATCTCGGTCTAATTCGATCAAGAACCAGACAGTACGTTTGCAAAAGTTACAAGTTTAGAACCATGAAAACAAATAGAGAAAACAAACCCCCAGATGCCAAAAAAATTAATACTCTAAAAGTTTGGCTTTTGTATCTTCACAGAATTCTCCCAAACTCTTTTGCCCTAAAAACAGAAGTTTTGACATAGACGCCATCTACAGCGTGATCGATGACGCCAAGCAGTACGTGTACATCGCCGTCATGGACTACCTGCCCATCTCCAGCACAAGCACCCGAAGGTCAGTGAATGTCCACCCCTAGTTACAACCTGTCCAAGGCCAGGCACTAAACTGGGGCCCACAGGAGAAGCCAGCCCGGACACCAATGCTGTCAGGTGCATTAGGAAGATCACGCCACTGAGGTCCGCTTGGTGAGCGTTTGCCATTTACCCGCGATGCTCATTACCAAGCAATCCATGGGTCCATTGCCCACGTGCATAGAAGCCAGTACCAGACTCATGAGAAAAGAAACGCTTCATTTCAAGTCAATTAGGAGGATGACAAAGAGAAACCTCTCCAATCTGCTTACTCAACCTGGGTCCTGGGTAGGATTTTATGAGGAGGGTAATGAGGACTGATCTGATTGGATCTTGCCATGAGCTGGAGGCCTAATCTGACTGGATCCCGTCATTAGGTGATCCCAGGACTCAATCTGATTGGCTGCCGTATCCTGCCCTGCTGTGTCCGCTTCTTAATTCAGTCCCTGGCTACTAGATTGGAGCACTTAGGTTCCACCCACAGATGCACTTCAGGTACTGTGACCTTCAAACTGGAGGTCCAGGGCAACCAAAACCAGCTCACAACTTAGTTACATAAAAGTTGAACAAGACTGGTAAAGTGTGGTTACACATCTTCTCCCTAACTGGGTGGATTTTAAGGGCTCAAGGTCCCACCCTACAGAAATACCTAGGTAGTTTACATTATTAGTAGGAAGGCAACTCTAGAAAGAAGGTTGGCTTATTCTCAATTTGAAAATTATTTCAAAAGAAAAATAAGATATGAAATAAAACATTTGAAGATATTATTTAAAAATTATTAATAAGGATGGAACTGGTCTTCCTTTGGCAACACATATATTTATTCCATATAAAATTGGAACAATATACGGAAGATTAGCATGGCCCTGCCAAGGATGGTGCACAAATGGGTGAAGCCTTTAATACAGATGTATTCGAAGGGCATGCTAAAACTGAGGGCTGGTGCAAGATTCTCCGTGAAGAAGACAATACGAGGCATTTCTCGTATTCACAACAGCCTTCATTAAAAGCTGAACTGTGATAATAGCTTCTCGGTGTAATGGAGAAAGTAACTTAAAATATATATGTTCTCAGCCAACCCATCCCTCTGTGCGAGAAAGAGAACATCTTAAAAATGGAGTGCCTTTTCAATAATTCATCATTATTTAAGCATGCAAATACTTGGAATAAATTTAGGGGTGGAATTTATGACAAACTCTTCGGAAAACCATTGCATGCATAAATGCATGGCATGGCCCTGCTCAGGTATTTCCACTTTTGTTTTCTTGTGAGGAATGCAGAGATTTGGGTGCTTGAATCATTATTTGAATCCAGGAAATGTTTTCAAAGTGCTTATTTCTGGGACTGTAATTTAAGACTGTAATTTGGAAAATTATAATTTCAGACTATGCATTTACTGAGGTTAAATAATTAAGTGTGTCCTATATTGCTTGAATGTTTCTCGAATTGCCAACCCCATGTATGCATAATATGCAAATTATTTATGTAAATGACTATAGGATTGCAAAAAGAATCCTTTACCCAGGAAACCATTGCTCCCAATGACAGGCAGTGGAAAAGCACTTTTAGCTGCAAGGTGAACATTAGTACAGTATATTTACTTTCAAATATTGAAATCCTTTGAACATTCATGGATTTTTCCTCACACTTTCATTCATGTCTTTTCTATCTCTCCTTCTTTTTTTTTAAGAGACAGTCTCACTTTGTCACTCTCAGTAGAGTGCTGTAGCATCACAGCTCACAGCAACCACCAGCTCTTGGGCTTAGGCGATTCTCTTGCCTCAGCCTCCCGAGTAGCTGGGACTACAGGTGACTGCCACAATGCCTGGCTATTTTTTGTTGCAGTTTGGCCAGGCCGGGTTCGAACCCACCACCCTCTGTATATGGGGCTGAAGCCCTACTCACTGAGCCATACGTGCCGCCCCTTCTATCTCTCTTTTTAATGTTTCTCCTGTTTGTTGTGTATTTCGTTTAGAATTAGTTGTACACTTAAGCTTCACTTTGAAAAGATTTCTTTTCTTTTTTCTTTTTTTTTTTTTTTTCACTTTTTGGCCAGGTTTGAACCCCACCACCTCCAGTATATGGGGCCGGTGCCCTACTCCTTTGAGCTACAGGCACTGCCCAACTTTGAAAAGATTTCTAAACATGGTGGGTTTTGCCTGATTGTCCTGTTATTGAGAGGAAAACTAATGTGTCATTTGTGATCTATACATATATTAGGATGGGGTGATGATTTCTCAGGGTTGACAAAACCTTTGTTCTGTGAACTCATGAACAAAATTGAGACCCTTCATGATCAAGGAAAAAATAATTAGTTTGGAGGATCTAAAATATCTCAGAAATCTAAAAGTTAGAGTAGACTTAAAGAGTGTTAAAGAGCTTTAGATTTACCTGAAATTTTGCATTTCGGTTGTTAATCTGCCATTTTAGCTGTTATTTTTAAAGTACTTCTTTTACTGTGTTTTAAACATTTCAAACCTATAAGCTGGGGCCAGTGGCTCACACATGTAATCCTAGCACGCTGGGAGGCTGAGGGAGGTGGATTGCCTGAGCTCAGAAGGTCAGAGTGAGAGCGCAGGAGCAAGAGTGAGACCCAGTCTTTAAAAATAGCCATGAGTTGTGGTGGGCACCTGTTTCCCAGATACTCAGGAGGCTGAGGCAGGAGGATCACTTGAGCCCAAGAGTTTGAGGTTTCTGTGAGCTACAACACCATGGCACTCTACGCAGGGTGAAAAAAATGAGACTCTTTGTTACAAAAAAAAAAAAAAAATTCAAACCTATAAATGTCCTTAGCTTTCTAAATGAAGGGTCAGCAAAGAGACATAAGAAGTAGTCCAAACAATGTGGATTATGATTAAATTCTCAGTCACATGAATGAATTCTTTTGACAAAGTCAGACTGCTTACTCATCTTCCCCTAGTCTTGGAAATGACTTTCAGGATTGAATTCAGCTTTAACAAATGAGTAAACACTATCAAATTTCAATGTGTTAATGGAACTAATTAATATCCAACAGACTTAACTTCCAGTCTATACATTGCCAAACATCCAAATGAAAGAAAAAATTCACTCACTCTCAAATTGGAAATGGTTGACAGGCCAGGAGCAGTAGCTCACACCTGTAATCCTAGCTTTCTGGGAGGCTGAGGTGGGTGGATTGCTTGAGCTTAGGAGTTTGAGACCAGCCTGAGCAAGAGTGAGACCTTGCCTCTACTAAAAATAGAAAAAGTAGCCAGGCCTCGTGGCAGGCACCTGTAGTCCCAGCTATTTGGGAGGAGACTGAGGCAGGAGGATCACTTGAGGCCAAGAGTTTAAGGTTGCTGTGAACTCTGATGCCAGGGCACTTGACCCAGGATGACACAGTGAACAGAGTGAGGATCTGTATCTAAAAAAAAAAAAAAAAAAAAATGATTGACAGCATGTAAAAAAATATGCTCCATCATTTGATCATAATGTTGAGGTAACTTTGGCCATTCAAGGTATAGGAAGGGAATGAAACAATGATATACAACTAAATAAATCTTGCAATAAAAAGTCAAAGTCCTCTTTTTACTTCTTCATTTTCAAATCAAGCTCTTCTGAATCAAGTCACTTAATTATTTAGGTTTCAGTTTGGAGTAGTTCATTATTTATTTCTTCATTCATGTGAAATATGTATTTCAGAAGGAAATTAGTGGATGTGTGAAGAACTAATAAAAATGTAGCCTCGTTATTCTTTGAGGTGTTACTTTTTCATCGATGTATTCATTCAACAAATATTTATCTAACACTGTGTACTAGTCATTAAAGTGTGAACACTGCACAGTCCCAGGAACTCCATCAAACAGTGGCAGGTGGACACAGAAGGGATTATTAGGACACAGTAAGGTCAATCAAACAGAATATTATAGGTGCTTGGTGAGAGAACACCTATGGCACAGTTTCAGGGTTAGAAGAAGCTTATTGGAGAAGATGTCGCCTGAATTACATTTCAAAATATTCAAGAATTGGAAGAGAATGGGAAAGGAAATTTTCTAGGTAGAAAGGACAGCATGAACAAAATTTCAGGTAGAGAAACAATAGCCTACCAGGTTCAGTGCTGAACCATTGAGCCCAGGAGAAGATGATGAGACATCAAACTGAAGAAGGGAAAGGACCAGTAACTGGAGGGTCTGACCACTGGGGAGTTCTGTGATATTGGGGAGTCTCTCCTTCGGTAGCTGTGGAGGATATACTTAACTAGAAAGAGAGAAACCAGCTTGGAGCACCAGACTGAGATGATTTTCCCAATAGTCCTCAGCTTTGTGGACATAGAAATAGACAAAGAGAATTAAAGCACTGATCCGGGATTTAGATTTTGCCCAGTGGCCTGGCATGGAAGCTCACACCTATAATCCCAGCGGTTTGGGAGGTGGAAGCATGAGGGTCACTTGAGACCAAGGAGTTTAAGACCAGCCTGGACAACTTAGTGAGACCCTGTCTCTACAAAAGCTTTTAAAAGTCAGCTAGGCATGGTGGCATGCACCTATCATGCACCCCAGCTACTTGGAAGGCTGAAGTAGGAGAATGGCTTGAGCCCAGGAGTTTGAGGCTATAGGGAGCTATGGTGACACCATTGCACTCCAGCCTGGGCACTAGAGTGAGACTCTGTCCCCACCCTCAAATGTGTGTGTGTGTGTGTGTAGCCAAGGGCAAAGAAGTCCCCCATGGGAGGGATTGCAGATCAGCAGACAGCATGGGAGAAAAGAACAATTAAGGGGATGAAAGACCTGAAGGGCAGGAGCCCAGGGTCAGACATGAAGAGGAGGCCTTTGGAGATATGGTGATTACAACACTGACAGTCTAAGGTTCTGAATAATATCATGGCTAGTCCAAATGGTGAAGTGACCCACCATTAGGACAAGCCTTGAATGAGTAAATAGAAGTTCTACACATGTCAGGGCTGAGAGGAGGAAAGTCATTTCAGGCTTGGTCCTTTGGAGAGGAAAAGATTTTGTTTTGTTTTGTTTCAACATGAAGGTTAAGTGACAGTTCTGGAAGTGACATTGTGTGTTAAGGCTGGGAAGAGTGGGAGGCTTCCCCCACATTTGAAACCAAATGGCCAGCTAGGACAGAAAAATACATAGCATAACATTAAGAAAAGCTGAGGTTTTAGGCTGTGGTCCCCAACCCCTGAGCTGTAGACTGATAGTGGTCCATGGCCTGTTAGGAACAGCGTGAGGTGGGCAGCAGTGGACGAGCCAGTGAGCCTTCATCTGTTTTGACAGCCACTCCCCATCACTCACAGCACTGCCTGGCTCCGCCTCCCTGTCAGATCAGCAGTGGTATTAGATTCTCGTAGTAGCACCAACCCTCCTGTAAACTAAACGTTCAAGTGATCCAGGATCACGCTTCTTGTGGGAATCTAATGCCTGATGATCTGAAGTGGAGCTGAGGCCATGATGCTAACATGGAGATCAGCTGCAAATACAGATTATCACTAGCAGAGAGGTTTGCCTGCACAGAGACGGGAATACCTCAGTTGCTTGCAGACCTATAAGTATGTATCAAAACCACCTCTGTCCCCCTCCACAAAGATCTATGGAAAATTGTCTTTCATGAAATGTTAGGTGAAGTTCTTTCTCACAGGGAGAGAAGGACGGCTTGGCCGCAGGTGCAAGCTCACTCCTAGAATTGTATGAAAGCAAGAAAC